GGGGCAGTCAGGGTACAGGTAGGGGGTAGGGTCCTAGGGGGCCAGTTAGGATGGGGGGAGGGTCTCAGGACGGGGCAGTTAGGGGACAAGGAACAGGGAGGTTTAGGTAGGGGGTGGAGTCCTGGGGGGCAGTCAGGGGACAGGGTCCCAGGAGGGGGGCAGTCAGGGGACAAGGAGCGGGGGGAGGGTTGGGGGTTCTGAGGGGGGCGGGAAGTGGGAGTGGCAGGGGCGGGGCTAGGACAGGACGGGGGCGGGGCTCCTCCCATCCTCTTTTTTGCTTGCTGAAATATGGTAACCCTAGCCCAGGGTATGTCAAGAAGCCCTTCTATTTGCCCACAAAGAACAACATATCAACTTGCTGACCCTATCCCCAGCTCTCAGTATTCTACAAACCTCACTAATCAGCGTTAGATTAGTGAGGTTCAATTATGTACATGATAAAGAAGCCTAGTTTAGAAAAAACAAACCAGGTACAGTTACAGAAATGGCCAGAAACACAATGCAGAACATTAACATAAGCAAAGTAGCAAATGTTTATGTCATGTGGGACTGTTTCTAAAGCCTTACTAAAATCAAGATACATCACAGGTACTGCTTCCCCCCATCCAGTAGGCCAGTAATCCTGTCAAAGAAGGAAAGTAGGTTGGTTTGACATGATTTTTCTTGACAAATCCATGCTGGCTATTTTATTTAGGTGCTTACAAACTGATTGTTCAATAATTTGTTTCAGTATCTTTCAGTATTGAAGTTAGGCTGACTGGTCTATAATTCACCTGAAGTACTAGAAGTCAGGATGATAATGAAAGAGGAAAGAAACTGATGGATGACAGGAACTAACATGAGGGGGAAAAAAAGTAAATCTTAGTGAGAGGAACTAGAAATCAAGCCCTTAGATTTAATTATCATTATGTATCAATCACCACAATCTCCTAACACTGACCATCCCAATAGACAGAATGTGTCTTGGGAGCCTGGGATTCTTAGCTTACTTTTTTTTTTATATGTTTAAGTGCCACCACAAACATTAACAGATTTCATGTGGACTTAGCCGCATAAGCTATGTAAATAAAAAGGCATTCTTATGCCTAAATAAGAGTGTCCACATGGGGAGTTATGCCAGTATAACTATAGCAGAATAACTGTAATAGTATAGTTCTGCTGGTGAATTTCCCCATGTAGGCAATCCTTATACCTTCCCAGTAATTTAGCAAGATATACACATACATTACTTCCCCCAAAGCAATGACATGGTAATTAAAATAGGACTTAATTAATCTAATACAAAATGTGTATCTGCCCACTGCTGTCCATTGCTAAACAACCCACACAATCTACAGCAACAGCAGAAGGTTGACATATAGGGTCCCAGTTTGTGCATTTTTCTTTAAAGACGCACAGATAGAACGTATTGATTTTTGAAATGCCATAAAAACAAAACAAAAACAAAAAAAAGCACCACAATTAGCTTCTGACCTTTTGATATTTCTGCCACCATTGATGTATATGTTGGTCCTGCCATGCTGTAGGTTTGGAAGAAGGAAATATGTGGCATCTGTTGAGAGACTCCAGCTGTACTGCTGACATAGTCGAAGGCAGCACTCGCTCAGGAAGGATTTGTACTTTAGCCTGCTGGATTCTGATAAAGAAAAAAAAATTATAAATACAAAATTTAGAAGAACAACAGCTTGGATTCCACCGCCTATGTAAATATGTGCAGAAGACCAAACCTCGATGCAGCACTGTAAAACTTCAAACATGAAACCATTTCATTACATTTTTAAAGTTACTTAAGTCTCACTTGTATAAATTGAATTACTGTTGTGACTACATAGCATAGAACTTATGTATTTGAAAGCAAACAGAACACATCTTTGCTATATTCAAAAGGTGTGGCCCACTGAAATTTGTTCCAGTTAATAAACAAACCACCAGAAGCACTTTTAGGTGCCGAGTGTATCCCACATTTTCAAAACAACTACTGAATAAAGTATCACTGTTTAAGAATAGTTAGATCTCTTAATCTCTATTTTTTTTCTTTAAACTTAATGAATATTCCTTTATCACATCTTTTTATGCAGGAATGTGGAAACTACCACCTAAAACTTTCAGCATGGTTACTTTCTTCCTTTCTGAGTTAGCTTCCTTTATCATGAGATACAAAATAAGCGTCATCAACATTTTTAAGGCATAGGATGTGTATCAGAATTGTGATCAGAACTGAAGTCAGGTTGGAAGTAGAGTCACAGCAGAACATTCTACCACCTCAGCATTATATTTTTAGATATTTGTCTCCTCAAGTTATTTTTGGTATTAAAGTAACTGTCAGCTAATACATATCAAACTCTCGGAAAGGAAGTTTCGCTGAAAAGCAGTTTACATTCTTTAAGCCCTAACCCTTATGTGATTAGCTAGAATTCAAAATCGGCAGAAATAGGATACAGACGATAATCATCTTTTAATACCTCACTTATACACCAGGTCACCTACTCCCCAAAAAGGCCACTGTACTTAGAAAAAGAAAAAAACCACACCCCCTACCAGGAACACTGTTTAGTAGGAAAGTATTTTAATACGTTCTGTTCTCTTAACAGTATAATGCATCTGTGACATTGCAGTCTATATGGTTTTATAAAAATATGCTAATGAGTGAATATAATGTAACTGGAATATGCTTCGTGCAAAAGGTCTCTTGTAAGGTATCATTACAAAGCTTATAATCTACTGAATGTGATCATCGTATTTGTATAAATGTACCACTCTTGTATCTGAAACTAGAAATATGAAATATAACTCTGAGGGCCTATTGTAATTATGCAAAGTGTGGACCATTAATGGTGGTTTGGAATCTTGATGAATCCCATTAACCAGGACAACTGTCTGCAGATGGCTGTGTTTTACCTGTAAGTCTTCCTGTATATCTGTGTGCTGGCAAGTGGGCAATGAAGTCTTGCAGTGACATGTGATCATGTCACCTGAACTGGAAACCACCTTTAACCTGGTGTCTTTCCATTGAGAAGGAGGGGGTGGGAACCCAGAGAGGGACAAAGGATTCCCACCTTATGCAAAAGATACATAAAGGAGTGGAACAGAACAAAGAGAGGGGGAGCCATCATGAAGAACCCCTGAGCTGGAACAAGAGCTGTACCAGGGGAAAGAATTGTGCCCAGGCCTGGAAGGTGTCCAGTCTGAGGAAAAAAACTTACTGAAGCATTTCTCAGGGTGAGATTATCTGTATTCAGTTTGCTTAGACATAGATTTGCGCATTTTATTTTATTTTGTTTGGTGACTTACTTTGTTCTGTCTGTTACTACTTGGAACCACTTAAATCCTACTTTCTGTATTTAATAAAATCACTTTTTACTTATTAATTAACTCAGAGTATGTATTAATACTTGGGGAAGCAAACAACTGTGCATATCTCTCTATCAGTGTTATAGAGGGCGAACAATTTATGAGTTTACTCTGTATAAGATTTATACAGGGTAAAATGGATTTATTTGGGGTTAGACCCCATTGGGAGTTGGGCATCTGGGTGTTAAAGACAAGAACACTTCTGTTAGCTGCTTTCAGTGAAGCCTGCTGCTTTGGGGCAAGTAATTCAGACTGTGGGTCTTTGTTGGAGCAGACGGGTGTGTCTGGCTCAGCAAGACAGGATGCTGGAGTCCTGAGCTGGCAGGGAAAGCAGGGGTAGAAGTAGTCTGGGCACATCAGGTGGAAGCTCCCAGGAGGTTTCTGTGATCCAACCCGTCACAGCATCAAGAATGCTAAAATACTAAAATGAATTTGTCAGCTTAAAAGTGTGATTCCACATGTTTCAATTCAACAAGAAAAGCATGAGACTTAGATTTATGCTTTTTCTGGTATATTTAATGTGTACTTTCCCATTGGATATTTTTAGGAGTAACTGCTGTCTTGACTACAAATGCTGATCATATTGTAAAGTGATATTTTAATATTTACTGAAGCTAAATAATAGGATGAAAGTGAGCAATAAAAAAAAGAATGGCACCCTTTTGTTTTTGATAGTCACTTCATGTGACTTAAAGAATAGAAAGGTTTAAAAAGGTCCAAGAGAAATATACTTAGGTAACCTTTGATTTTTCACTGTGGTTCAAAGGTCACATTAGGGAAGTTTAATACAGCACACTGGAGTTATTAACTACGTATATGTTGTACAAGGTGTAAGTGCAGGGAACAGTTTAAAATATGAGAATGCCTCCCCAACCATGCAATAAAGCTGAACATAAATGTAATCTTTAAAAAGTTAAACAATATCTTGTTTGTAGATAATTTTTAGACCCTATCCTGAGTTAGTTCTAAAAACCTAAAAAACAAATTCCTTAAGATTTCACATTTTCTTGATTCATATTTTGCTGTGGAATAATGAACTTTCTAAATCACATTTAGAATGTAATTGCCATAGTAAAATATTCTAGCAGCAGAACACAACAGCTGTATCTTTGCCACCTCCAGATAGTCAATTTTCATAACAGATGTGATTGCTACTGTGGTTAACTGTGTACTGCCATCTTGTGTTCAAACAACAACTTTCTTGTTTCAAAATTCAAATGATCAGTGACAGATAAGCAAAAAATTAGACGGTTAGGAACAGCAGAGCAGTACTGGTCTTTGTAAATGGCAACACATTATTTAATCTTTTACTTAAGGTTACTGTAAAGTAACAGAATGATTAGCTGATATTCTAATGCTTCTTTTTAAAAAGAATGTTGCTGTACTGAACAATGAATGCAAACATTTACTTTGTTCCTTTTACATGGATGGACAGGAAATCTCATTTCTAAATGTACATTTTATTTGTATTTTGGTACCACCCATAGTCCTCAGTAGGGACAGGGCAGCACTCTGTACAAATATATAGCAAAATACAGTCTCTAACCCAGAGTGGTTACATTTTAAATAGAGACAAGATCCAACAAGGTGTAGAAAATAATTGGAGACATAGGTGCTGGAACTAGGGGTGTGGGGGTGCTGACACACCCTCTGGCTTGAAGTGGTTTCCATTGTATACAGGGTTTACAGTTTGGTTCAATGGCTCTGAGCATCCCCACTACACAAATTGTTCCAGCACCCCTGATGGGAGAAGGAGAAAGTGGAATACATGGGTGACAGTACCAGGAATACAAGGTTGCATATATTTTCAACTGAGTGCACAATTTAGAAGTGTCTAATTTGTTTTTTTTTTAAATAAGCAGACAAGAGGTCTTAATGAATCACCTACAAGCCACCAACCTAGCCAATATCATTATGTAGTGAACCACAGGCATCATAACAGAGGACAGAGAACTGCCTTGCAAATGGATTAGGGAATAGTATTTAATGCATAATGGGCAGCATGGAAGAAGGTGAGAAGTGATTATGGGAGAAATGACAAGCTGGTAAAAGAGGCTGACATCATTGATGGAGTGAAGGAGATGAGTCACAAAGCAGTGAGATAAGATAAGAAATTGATTAAGTTATGGGAAAGCTAAACTGTGAACTGGTAAAGTAAAGGAACAGAAGTTAGTGTTTAATGCAGTGGAGAAGGAGGCGCCAAAGGAGTAATTTCACACTGAATGCCCAGAAACAAGACTCTGATGCAGTGGGGATGCAGGTCTCCATCACATCTCCAAGAACCACAGTTACAACAAATACCCATTTTTTCTTCAAGTAGATGCAGCTGTGTATTCCACTTAGGTGACACAAGCAGAAGTGCCATGTCCCTCAGCTGCAGCAGGCGGTGCTCAGAGTCTACCTAAACTCAGACTACAGGACCTCACTACCAAAGCTTGCATCCGCTGCGGAATATGAGGTTATGGGGTAATGGTTTGTGAACGAATGTATCAATGACCACAAAGCACCCTTGCATATGTCCAATATGGAAATGTCACTGAGGAACGCTATGGACATTGCTTGAGTCCTCACAGAATGAGCTCGCACCTGCTGAGGAGACTTATGCCATCTTGATGCAGGATGTTATCCATTTGGAGACAGCCTGCAAAGAGATTGCTTGAACCCTCATGTGGTCTGCATATGACACAAATAAATGATGCAAAGCACAAAATGGTTTAGTCCTGTCTGGATAAAAGGCTAAACATTGCCTGACATCTAAGGTATGGAGATACTGTTCCTCTGAAGCTGAACGCAGTTTACTGGGAAAAAAGACCCACACACAGGTAAATATACTGACTAGTTCAAATGAAACTAAGAAACCACTATAGACAAAAAAATTGTGTGTGGTCATACAGTCACCTTGTTTTTGGAGAATTGTGCATAAAAAGGATCTGCCATTGGAGCCTGCAACTCACACAATCTCGTTTGCAGATTTTATTGCTACCAGAAAAATCTTTTCTGACACAAGAATGGAAAGGGACAAGATGCTAGGGGCTCGAAAGAAGGACCCATCAGCGCTGTTAGGACTGTGTTTAGGTCTCATAGGGGAACACGCTCTTGAATCAGAGGATGTAGACAAAGGATCCCTTTTAAGAATCTTGTTCCCATGGCATTGGAGAAGACTGATTTTCCCTGAACAAGGAGATGAAATTCCAATATCACTGCCTGATACACTTTCAGCAAACTAAGTGCAAGCCCTAACGACTGAAGACATAACAGGTACTCCAAGATGTCCTGGGTAAAAGCCAGTGTTGAACATAAGAGTGGCCATACTGGGTCAGACCAAAGGTCCATCTAGCCCAGTATCCTGTCTTCTGACAGTGACCAATGCCAGGTGCCCCAGAGAGAATGAACAGAACAGGTAATCATCAAGTGATCCATCCCCTGTTGCCCATTCCCAGCTTCTGGCAAACAGAGATTAGGGACATCATCCCTGACCATCCTGGCTAACAGCTACTGATGAACCTATCCTCCATGAACCTATCTAGTTCTTTTTTGAACCTTGTTAAGTCTTGGCCTTCACAACATCCACTAGCAAAGAGTTTCACAGGTTGACTGTGCACTGTATGAAAAAAATACTTTCTTTTGTTTGTTTTAAACCAGCTGCCTATTAATTTCATTTGGTAACCCCTCGTTCTTGTGTTATGAGAAGGAGTAAATAAACACTTCCTTATTTACTTTCTCCACACCAGTCATTATTTTATAGACTTCTATCATATCCCCTCTTACTTGTCTCTTTTCCAAGCTGAAAAGTCCCAGTCTTATTAATTTCTCCTAATATGGAAGTCATTCCATACCCCTAAGCATTTCTGTTGCCTATTTCTGAACCTTTTCCAATTCCAATAGACCTTTTTTGAGATGGGGTGACCACATCTGCACGTAGTATTCAAGATGTGGGCGTACCATGGATTTATATAGAGGCAATATGATAGTTTCTGTCTTATTATCTATCCCTTTCTGAAGGATTCCCAACATTCTGTTCCCTTTTTTGACTGCCGCTGCAGACTGAGTGGATGTTTTCAGCGGAGGTGTAAATCTTCCTGCCTAAGAGGTCAAATTGTTTAAAGTCCCTAGCCTTGGGGGTGGACTTAAACCTGCCCTGTCAGGCTCTGTCACTCACCAGTTACAGCTAGGGAATTTGGGGTGAGATGAGAGTAAAACCCTCAAATCCCTGCATGAGAATGAATCAGCACTTTTCCATGCACTTAGTTTCAGGTGATAATGAAACCAGCATTTCCAGAGGGAAGTAGCCAGTTCAAGGATCACATTGTTGATAGGGAATCTCCCAGGGGCAGACAGCTATAGGATGACCACCAATTTGTGGGTTTTTTCCTTGCAAGAACTCTGCCTGTATACTAAAGGAAGCAGCTCCTTGCCACAAAAGGTCTTGGTACTCCTTAAAATCCTCTGGTACTGAAGGTAAGGATAAGTCAGGTAGTACAGCATCATCCGGAGACAAAGACAAGCCAAAGCCAAATCCCATTACAGGGGTGACGGACCCAAACAGGACAACTCTGGAGGTTTCACAGGGAAAAGGACTGTCAGTGCCTGGGCTTGTGGCGGACTGATGGTCACCACCACAGATCTGGCACATAATCTCCCCTTTAAATGAGATGAAAAGCGGGACCTCCACAGCCGAGTTCCCATGGATTCCACAGAGGTCACTGACATGGATAAAGCAACAGAGGGTCCTGTGGCACCTTTGAGACTAACAGAAGTACTGGGAGCATAAGCTTTCGTGGGTAAGAACCTCACTTCTTCAGATGCAAGTCATGGATAAGGCATTGGTGTTCAGTAGGTGCTCCATCCCAATCGCAAGATGGGCACCAATCCTAGTAGCCATAATGATCCATCAACTGCCCTTGATGCAGGTCGGACGGTGGAGAGAGGGAGAATGATGACCTCGACTCAGATGCAGAGGAGCCTACAGACCCCAGAGATAAGGACGAACGGAGACCAGAGGGAGTGAATAGCCTGTCTGACTCATCCGTCACCCAGAACGAAGCGGTACGGTAGTGTCCAGGAAGTTGATGCTAGTGTGGGAGTGTTCCAGAGAGAATTTAATGGACAGGTAGTGGTTGTGGAAATCTATGTGGGAGTTTAAGCCATGTGTCCCTAACTTAAAGTGTAACTATGGTTTAAAAAAAGATCACTATAAATATTGCACCTTCTTACTCAATCAATCTGAGCCCTGTGGATATGCAAAATACACCTCTACCCCGATATAACGCTGTCCTCGGGAGCCAAAAAATCTTACCATGTTATAGGTGAAACCGCGTTACATTGAACTTGCTTTGATCGGCCAGAGCGCACAGCCCTGCCCCCCGGAGCGCTGCTTTATCACGTTATATCGGGTCGCGTTATGTCAGGGTAGAGGTGTAATAAGGGCTTCCTTTAATGCTAAAAACAACTTTTTACTATTTTTCACTCCTGTTGGCTGTATTGGCACTGCTATCAGAGTGAAACAAAACTGATCAGTAAATTCTGAATGGAGAATGTTTGTTTTTGATAATGGTTTATTAGCCAACATGCCAGAGATGTGATTTTGCAGAGTTACTGGTCAGAAAAATAACCCCACCATTTCAAAAATCATATGTCAGAATTTAAAATTCTCAATTAGAACAGTTAACACAATTTTAAAAAACATTTAAAATGTAAATGAGAAAAAGCAAAAGTTATTAGAAACAGTATGTAGATGCTTAAAAACAACATTAAGGTTGCAATGTCAAGCACTCAAAAGTTAGGAAATGCCAGAATGAAGGTTGCCTGTGCAATTTTAATTTCTCTTGTGAGTATGTGATACAGTCTTTAATTACATGATCACATATTACTTTTTCCACAGGACCTCTGCCTAATTCAGTGCACAGGATGGATGTGCTTACTTATTGAGCAGCTATTCAACATTTTATTTTCTCCTCACTGTTCAATGAGTAGCCCCAGGCCTTATTTATTGCACGCTAATTCCTCCCTGCTCTGAAGACAGAATTAACTTCCTCATTGGCTTTTCTATGGTGCTCACCATTATAGTGTCTAAGTGTTTCATAAACATTAATTAATTTCCTCAATACTTGTGTGAGATGAAGGCATATCATCGTTAACATTTTACAGATGGAGAAACTGAGACACAGAGATTAAGGTCAACAGTATCCACTAATTTTGGGGTGCCCATTTGAGATGCAGAGGACCTGATTTTTTTTCCCCAGAGTATTTACCACTAATACCATTCAATGCATAGCCCCCATTAATATCAGTTGTAGCTAAGATTCCTCAGCACCTTCTGCAAATCAGACTCCAGAAACTTAGTCAGGATGACAATGAGGAACTCACAATTAGTAACCAAGTTTCGTTTAAGTGACTCGAGTAGCATCACACATGAACACCACCAGAGGCAGGGATAGAAACCAATTCTCCAGGACAACACTCAGCTGACTTAACCATGACATCATTCTTTTTCTTCCTGCAATCCCCTGCCTCATTCACTACAAACCTTCAAACATTTGCAACAAAGCAGGGGTCGTACAGGCAACAGTCTCCTTCCCTATACAACCCTGATTCACCCTCAACGCAGAGGCCGGGGTCCTGTGGAAAAAATAGTCTACAATTACATTATCACATACTATTTCATAACACATGTGCATAACGGGGATATGTGCAGAGATGGAATTTAGCTGCTAAAATCTAAGAAATCTCTACTGAACAAGTGAGAACTGCAATTTTTCAAGGGCTTATAACTTGACCAAATCTGGGGGTGTTTTCATGGGGATGGCAAAAAGCACATTCCTGACACAAAGGCCATGCCCTTGGCCAAATTTCAAGTCCCTGTTCCAAAGCAGCGGTGGGTAAATCTTTTAAAAGAAGAAGTTGCCAAAAAAAATTTAACACAGCAAATCAATGTTTTTTTCCTTAGCCCCACTTCAGGAATGGATGAACCATTTTATGGTAAACATTTTGTAAAGTTCTAGTCTACCGAAAATAGGGTCTTAAACAGGCAGCGTCAGGCAACCTTAAAAATACAGCCTGATCCATAATGACTAATCAGTTCAGTGACCCTGAGAGGCATGATTTCCCAGCACTACAGTTAAAATGTTGCATTGGGAACAGTAAAAATTTTCTTCAGAGGGAAAATTTCTTCAGAGTCATATTTTACCAACCAATTACAAAAAGTGCTGGAAGTCACTAGTTTTGCTGAACACAGAGATGCATACGTTATCTATTTTCTTACCCATCTGACTGAGTTCTTATTTCAAGCACCTTGAACCTCTGTCTTCCTACTGCTTTCACTTTGACTGTTTCAATTCCAAACTCCTGTTCTTCTCGGTAGGCATATATTTCGGCTGTTGTTCCAAAATGTGCTTCCCTTTCACGTATATTGCTAAAAAAGAGTATAAGATACACATTGTAATCTGTACGGTAGGTAGTGTTCACTCAACTTCTATTAACCCTCCCACCTCCATTTTTCACTCATTCATCACTTTCTTAAAAAGTCTCCTTGAGAGCTGAAATTATCCATGCTTCGTCTAAGCTTAAAATTGTTTTTGTTTTTAAACTTTGAGGAGGAAAATCTCTTCAGCTATCTGAATTACAAAGAGGAAGCAATATTTGTTTTCATTTAAAAAATAAAGTCTAATTTTGTTTATTTTGTGTTTACACTAATCATTCAAAAATTACTTAGCAAAAACCCCTTCAGACTCAGCACACAGCTGATCTGCAAGGAGAATGATTCTGCCATGACATAATCATAACAAAAACAATTCTGTGTTTAAAATTTTGATAATGAACATACTAACAAATTCTTAAGACTGTATGGTTCTGAAAATAGCTTCTCCTGCCCCCAGTATGATCTAGTAACATCTCTAATGGAGGGGGAGGGGAACCTGCAAATTCTTAACCAGTCTGGGAAATCCATAGGCAGGACTTGATTCTGAAGTGAGGAACCTTGGTTAACACTCCCAAGATCTGACCAAGATTGCTGGAGTTCGAGAAGGCCTTTAGATATTGAGGGGCTGCAGTGGCTTCTCCCCACATCAGCTACTGTACAGAAAGCAAAACATACTTCTACTCCTTTCTAATCCCTTGTGGAACATCTCTTTGGCTGGTGCAGGTGGGGGGTGAAAAAGGGAAGGAAGGAGGAGCTATTGCGATTTGACTGTTTTAACTAGGACTCATGGGGACTCCCTCAGCTCTTAAATGGAGGTGAGGCACGTGGCAAGGAGAGCACCCTTCCAGGGTACACTGCCTATGACAGGGGAAGGGGGAAACAAGGGAGAAACTGATGAGGAGCCAGTTAGGAGTAAGGGGGAAAAAGACAAGGGACAGCTAAGAACCAAAGCAATGAGAAAAGCCTGACATCTTGGCAGTCACAGTAAGCTTCTTTCTCTCTTTTTACACACACACACACACACACACACACCCATATAGTAGCTCTGATATCTCCTCATTTGCCTTAGCTCTATTTGAATAATATGTCTAAGCATGTTACATATAAGTTATGCAGTCTGTGGTTTTAATTTGGGGAAAAGAGAATCAGAAATACATTCTTTCGATTACACAGGCAAAACACACTTAAATAAATAGAGTTCTAGAAAATAAGAAACTAACCTCTGGTTTGTATCCTTATGTTCCAAACCCTGAGACTTTTTATTTTAAGCAAAGAGGGGCACTGCTTTCAAACATTTAATGAAACCAATAAAATAGTCACATAAAAAATCCCCAAATGTATTTCCCTCCATATTTCAAAGAGGATTATGTTTGTGATGATGTCATGAGACAAACCCATTAAATCTTTACATAGTTTTCTAACCAAGAATATTATAATATTCTGCCCAAAGAAATCAGTGATAAAACATAAGCTTCATAGCATCAGTAACTACTGAGTATTTTACCTGTATGCAAGAACAGCAAAGGTTCTGTCTTTCTGAATTAAATTCCGCACCATGCTAACCTCTTGAGGGCGAAAAAGCTGAAGAGGCAAGGTTTGTCCAGGAATCAACATCACCACCACGTGGGGTAACACTGGAATCACTTGACAGCTGTCATCATCATGCACCGTTCTCCCGTGAAACTCTTCCATATCAGAACCCAAATACTGTAAAGCAAAACATAAATATCACAGCATATTACTTTTGAGAGCTACAAGTAGTTTTGGTGCTTAGTACGTATAAAGCAAGACAAAATGTCTAGCCTGAGGAGATGACAACATATTAGTATTTGCAAAGTTTCAAAAAATATTGAACAACGAAGGAATAAAGATTATAAAAAACTGGTTCCAATGGACTAATACAGGGATTCTTTGTGGACTGCATCTTAATATTAATAGGTCACCTTCCCTCACATTCACAATCATGTGTACCCATCTTACATTTGAGATCACGTAACATTCCTGTGGCAACTATACCAATTCCTTAAATGGAAAAGTAATATTAGGAAAATATATAATGATTTAGCAGCTAGAAATGAGCAAAAGAACCATTGCCAAATGATCGGTCAGCTCACTGCAGCTCATCAGCAAGCACTCCACAAGGGGCTTCTGGCCTGCAAGCTGCACTTAAGTTACAAAAATGCCCATTATCAGAGGGGTAGCCCTGTTAGTCTGGATCTGTAAAAAGCAACAAAGATGTATTGGAGCATGAGCTTTCGTGGGTGAATACCCACTTCATCAGCATGCATTCACCCACGAAAGCTTATGCTCCAATATGTCTGTTAGTCTATAAGATGTCACAGCACTCTTTGTTGCTTTTTTAAAATGCCCATGGATTTAGTAACACCCTAAGACAAGTGGAAGGGATAGGAATAATATATGTAAACCATGTCAGATGTTATGATTTTAAACTTCACTTAGCACCTAGTGTAGACCTGGTTTAATACCCTTAAAAACTTCACTGGTTTTCGTGAACCCCAGACTATTGTCATCCACAACCAGCTAATATGTTTTAAAGGTATTAAACACGGTCAGCACCAAGATGCTAAGTAACATTTAAAATCAGTTGGCTAACATGTTTCTTTTTTAAAAGTACCTTTTCCCCTAGTCTAAACAAGACCTAAAGGGTACTTAGAGACTATTCATAGTGGTAGTAAAGCCCTAAACTCAGTAATTAACATGTGCATGATCAAGCATCTATAAAGGACAATAGTGCAGGAATCCTGCAACATTTTCATGTCAAAGGAATATTTTACAGGTTGTTCTGCTGGCCTTACAATAAACGTAATTTTGCAAATTGCTATCTAGAGATGGTGCCCATTCAAGTTTTTTTAAAATGCCTTGCCTTTTCAGCATGTCAAAACTTTGAAAAATCTTCAATTTAAATATAATTCAATTAGTTCTGAAACTTTGATATACTTTTGCTGGATGTGTGAAGTCTGTTATTTTCAGACAGAACTGGCACACCAGAGGCTACAGCTGTGAACTCTTACTGCTTTGTCAAAATGCCACAACCTTACTCTGGAAGACCCACTTATACATGAGAGGGTGGTGGCTTCAAGTAGCCATTCGATTCTATGCTGAAAATAAGGGTGACAACTGCGGCCATTCTTAGGATATAATCCCTGATCCATTAAGTATATGACGGAGATCACCAACTAGAACTGCGCTAAATTAAATACCCATCATTTGTTTCTTGTAGAAGTTCAAGTTAGTTATATGTACCTCTGGTCTCTATTCCATTACTACTATAACTAAAAGGAGGGATTCCTGGGACAATATTTGAAAGAATAGTCTAAGTAACCTGACAACACTAGGAATACCACTGCATTTATTCAAAATCTTTAATTAAATCCAAGCCTGTATATTTACATACAACTGGATCAAAACTCTTCACAAGGATGCTTAAGATGCTGTGGAAAACACAAAGAAAAACCACATACCATATGTGATGTTGGCAGACTGGTGTCAAAATTAATGTTTGGCTTTTCAGTTTCTTTACTATCTTGATCTTCAACTTCCATTTCAAGGTCATCCTCTTCCTCACTCTCTGCTAGCAAGCAGGAAACAAAATGTCAAGAAGAAACATCATCCAACAAGTGTTAAGCTGCCTCGAAAACGCAAAGCATTAGGAAAAAGAGGATACATAGCATCCCTGGAATATATCCTTCCATAGGCAAATAGTCTTCATATTTATAAATTGGTGAAAAACAAATGAGTTTTACTTTTATGGGAAACTATTTTCCTGCAGTTGCACAGAATCACATTTTCACAGAAACAGTCAAGTGCTGGTAATATGTTTTCAAGGCACCAAACAGAAAAAGGTGCAGCAATTATTACATGAAACAATATTGTCACCAAAGATGTCCAATTATAATACAAAGTAGTACTTCTTAATTCCAAATTTTTACTCACATTATGTAAGGAAATGAACTGAAGGAACCGAGAAAACTAGGCTATATGGCAAGATGTTAAATATTTTATTACATTTATAGTACTTTGAAATTTAGACAATTGCATAATAAAAGTTAGTAGTAGTATCTACACAAAATGAGTTAAAAGAAATACCAAGTTCTACACCCATTTGAGCCCCTCAAACAATATTTCTGGCCAAGTTTTTTGGTGTTGTTGTTAACCTCTCTCGTCATTGTGTGAAACACCCACACAAATCAGCAAGCGAAACTAAGTTACTATGAGAGGAAGCAATTAACTTGATTCTTTAAAAATTGCTGTCAAATACAAAAGTAAATAATATGTAAAACTGGAGGAAAGTAGTAATCTCTTGCATTCCAGTAATTATACATGTTACTTCTAAAAATATTTTCAGACAAAAGTGTGATTTTTAAGTTTGCAATGTCCTTTTTAATCCTTTACTTCCATAATCTATATGTAGTAAATACATCTCCTATATAAGAAAAGTATTTAGTGATTCGGTGCTCACAATAGCTACTTCACTTACATATAAAATGTGTTTAAAAATTTAAATATTTTTCTACTGTATTAAATGTAAGAGACTACAGTGGAGAAAATCAAAGTAATACACATCTCTATAAATTGCTAACTAGTGATCATTCTAGGCATGACCACTGACTACTCACCAGGAATTGGTGGGGGGAAAGGTGGGGAAATGGTTAATTTCTCCTTGTTTTAAGATCCAAGGGTTTGAATCGGTGTTCACCAGGAAATTGGTGAAAAAGTCTCTCAAGGTTACCAAGGGAAGGGTTATAGTACTTGGGAGGGAGATATTCTGGGGGGGGAGGTAGACAGAGTTTCCCAAATGACTCATAAATAATTTGGGTGGTGGCAGGAAAACCAGATCTAAGCTGGTAGTTAAGCTTAGAGGTTCTCATGCAGGTCCCCACATCTGTACCCTAG